CTTTCTTCAGTATCCTCTCCAGAATATACATGAGATAATAAGGAAACCCAAATAACTCACTGCATATCATTTCTTAATTCCTGAGGTTCCCAGGTAGTCTGCCTTCTTCTTTCCATCTTTCAGAATCTTTCTTTTCTTTCTTTTTTTTTTTTTTTTTGAGACGTAGTCTCGCTTTGTTGCCCAGGCTGGAGTGCAGTGGTCCCATCTTGGCTCACTGCAAGCTCCGCCTCCCGGGTTCACACCATTCTCCTGCCTCAGCCTCCCGAGTAGCTGGGACTACAGGTGCCCGCCACCATGCCCGGCTAATATTTTTGTATTTTTAGTAGAGACGGGGTTTCACCGTGTTAGCCAGTGTGGTCTTGATCTCCTGACCTCGTGATCCGCCCGCCTCAGCCTCCCCAAGTGCTGGGATTACAAGCGTGAGCCACTGCACCTGGCCCAGAATCTTTCTATGTTTATTTTATAATGCCTAGGCATTTTTAGTAGTAACAAGAAGGATCTGGAAGGAATCAAGCTACTCCATCTTGGCTGGAACTGGAAGTCTCCTCAGCAGGAATACTTTTGAAAAACGACAGAGATATTATGATATTATCTGGAGCAATCAATACATGAGCCAATAAAACAAAAAAGAAAAACACAGGACCTTTCCTATTATGCTAAAAAAGCACTATAATCAAAACCATACAGGCTGAGAAAAGAATAAATAGATTAATGGAACAGAAGTTCAGGAAAAGACAGACTTATGTATGTTTGTGTCCTAAATTGGAAAATTTAGTATATGATACATGAGGCAATTCAAACCAGTGGGGAAAAAATCGGATTTTTCATTAACAATTATCCCTCAGGACTTTTCCCATGGGCTGGAAAAACAAAGACACATTTAAAAAATATTATATCAGTTTAGTCATCTCACATATAAATAAAACCTATACTAATATATGTTGCAGATAGATTAAAGAATATTTAAATATATCTATTTAAAATAAATGCATTCAAGATGGTAGTGTAAATCGGCATAACTACTTTAAAAAAGTGAGATTTCATTCAGGAAAGTTGAAGATACATGTTTCTTAATACCCAGGAATTCCACTCTTCAGTATACACTTCAGAGAAACCTATACATGAGTACCAGGATGCTCTTACAATAATGTTTATAGCATCACTTTTCATAATTGTCACAAATGGAAACAAGCTAAATATTCAACAGTAGGATGTCTCAGTGATCTGTGGTACATGGTGTATTTTACAATTAAACAAAGACGTTAGTTACAGTCAATAGCATGAATGAATCCTACAAAAAGGGATAAAAAAGCAAGGCACAAAAAAACTGCATACAGTATGATTCAATTCATATGAAGTTCAAAGACAGCAAACATAAATTGTAATGTTTAGGGATGTGTATATAGGTGGTAAAACGGAACAAAAGCAAGGAATTGATAATGATAAAAATCATAATGTAGGCCAGGCGCGGTGGCTCACGCCTGTAATACCAGCACTTTTGGAGGCCGAGACGGGTGAATCACTTGAGGTCAGGAGGTTCGAGACCAGCCTGGCCAACATAGCGAAACCCTGTCTCTACTAAAAATACAAAAATTAGCTGGGTGTGGTGGTGCATGCCTGTAATTCCAGCTACTCGGGAAGCTGAGGCAGGAGAATTGCTTGAACCTGGGAGGCAGAGGTTGTAGTGCACTGAGATCACGCCACTGCACTCAAGCCCGGTTGACAGAGACTCCGTATCAAAAAAAAAAAAAAAAAATCAGAATAGTGGTTACATTTAGGGTGAAAAAGGGACTTCTGATTGGGCCACGAATTTATTCATTCTTTATATGGCTAAGGGCTAAGAATCCATTCACTGTTTTGAAGTGATTTACTACAATCAATAAATATATGTTTAATTAAAAAAATTTATGAACTAGATAATTTCTGGTGCTAAAAAATTGTGAAAGATTCCCACATCTGCCAAAATGTGATTTATGTTTAATCAGTCATATTATTTTAATAGCAAAAATACATATGCATATTTATTTTATACATGGTATATACTATAGCGTATCAAATTCAAACTCAATTGCTCTGTTTAGACAATTTAAGATTACTCAGATACTACACAACTGAATGAACATTACATCCGTATGCTTCACATTCCTTTCAGTCAAAACAAAAATGATTATAATTGATTTTAGCTGAAAATGCTAATGTGCCATCAAATATTAGTGAAATGTTTTAGAAGAGTTTTTCTTTGAGTACTCTGAAAGCAAGATGAATTCCTCATTTTTTTTTAATGCCTCAAGCCTCAAACTCTCTGAAGTTATTTTAGATATAATACCAGTAATCGATGGAAAAATTATGTTACCTATCATCCATGAATCCTGCTTTTTTTTTTTTAAAGGAATCTCCTGAGGGATAACTCTTACAACTCTAAAATAAAAAAAGCATGCACAATGAAAAAAACTGATTCCTTTAGGAAAAAAATCACTATTTAAAAATAGGCAACATTCCTGCTAATTAAACTAATTAAAGAATATATTAATACTCTGCCTTTAGGGTAAGTCTTCTTTAAGGCTGCATCTTCAACCCAATTTTAATAACTCATATAACTTTCCTGTGAGATTCCATTCACTGACTAGCATGGCCTCAATTAACTCTCTTGTATGAGGACAAACCTTAATATCAATTACTAGATTGTATTTCTCTTCTGAGTTCCAGGCTGATTTATCCAATGACTTATTGGATATTTGGTAATCTGAGAGGGACCTCAAACTCAGTAAGTCCAAAACATCCTTTTTCCTATTAATAATATTCTGTCTCCAAAACATCCTTTTTAAGTTAACAGCAACACCATCTACTCAATTTCCCAAGCCAGAAATCTGAGTCAATCTTTCCATTTTCCCCTAAACATCCAATAAATTATCAAGTATTGTTGATTCTACTTTCTTAAATAATATTTTTCAAATCTTGTTTTCTTCTCTAGCCTCACTGTCAATGCTTAAGTTCAGGTTCTAATCGTTTTGTGCCTACATTCCTGCAACCTGGTCTCCTTCCATCTAGGTAAAACAAAACCTCTTCTCTGCTAAAATCATTTTTCTTACTCATCATAGTAAGGCTTTAAAAAAGTACCAAAATGATTATGTTACTTTCTTCCTTAAAAATCACATAAAGGAATCCCATAATTTTCAGGATCAAAACCAAACTTCTTAACATGGGATAAAGGCCTGCTTCCAGCCCTTTATCTTACCAGTCTTTATTTATACCCTATAATCCGGTATCCTATTATTTCATGTTTATGCTTCTGTATAAAACTCCAATTTCCTGGGGGTTACCTCTTGGAAAGACTTTGCTGATTTACTTTCTCCAATGTCCAGGTGTCCCTCCTGTGTATTTCCATAAAACTCTTGGTTTACCTTCATCAGTTAACACATACTTTATTATCAGAGAGGGTGCCTTTATAATACGTAATTTCAATTCAATATTCTTTACATAAGTGTAGCTTAATTATTTATATATTTATTAATTGCTTAAAGTTTCTAGAGTTCAATTTTTGAGTCATTATAAAATGTATTTCAAGAAGTAATATCCTCATGCTTTTCCAATCCTTTAACAACACTTGATATTTTTAGAAGTCATTATTGAATGTCAAAAAAAATCTTTATTCATTTCAATTTCCTCATATGAAAAATGAGAGACCTGGATTAGACCTAAAGTTCCTCCTAGCTAAAATATTTTATGAGTTCACACAAAGTTGGAATAAATTTCTTGAAAAATTTTTTAAAGCTAGAATATTAATTACCACATTAATTTCTGATGTTGACCATACATTAGAACGCTTGGCATATTGAAGTTAATAGTGTATCATATAATGGATCAATGGGCTTACTCGATTTAAAAATAATGCAAACAAATTACAAGATTTTTTCTTTTTAAAAATGTCCCTTGAGGCCAGGTGCAGTGGCTCACCCTTAATCCCAGCACTTTGGGAGGCCGAGGTGGGTGGATCACCTGAGGTCAGGGGTTCAAGACAATCCTGGCCAACTTGGCGAAAACCTGTCTCTACTAAAATAAAATTAAAAAAAATATTAGCCGGATGTGGTGGCACGTGCCTATAATTCAAGCTACTCAGGAGGCTGAGGCAGGATAATCACTTGAACCCAGGAGGTTGGAGGTTGCAGTGAGCTGAGATCATGCCACTGCACTACAGCCTGGGTGACAGAGCAAGACTCTGTCTCAAAAAAAAAAAAAAAAAAAAAAAAAAAGCCCCTTGAGTCATAGAATAATTATTTTGAATTGAATTTGAATTTACTGAAAGATTTGAATTTATTGAACTTGATATTGAAAAGTTTAATCAAATCAAGCTTAATGATTTGTTGAGATCTTTACATGTCATTGTTAACATTTAACCAGTATTGTTTATCCTTCATTATTACTATCCAATTATTCAATCTTGCTTTTGAAAAAAACAATACATTATGTTAGGAGATTAATATTCCATAAGACTTAGTAAAATGTTAGAGACAGAAGAATGTCATAATGCTCTAATTTTTAAAGAGTAAGTCAATTTTTCATTACTGTAATGTAAATTTTCAATTGAAATCGGCATACTGTGTTTTCAAAGGAACCCAGAAAAATATGTACTAAAAGACAGATATTATTTAAAAGTGGTGAAGGCTTATAGGGAAAAGAAATTGCAACAAGATAAAAAGATAACCCATTATGCACACCAATGCTTACATACAGTGTTTTCATATGTAGATTTTTAATGAACTGCACAGGAAAGGGTTCCTTTTTGATTCTCCTAATATTTTAGTCAGAAATTCATTGCAAATAGCAGATAAGTCTGATGGTGATTATCTGATACATATAAATTTTTAATTCAACAACGATAACTTAGAATTAAATAATATTCTAACATAGCCAAAGATCAATGGCATAAAGAAAAAGCAATTCTTCCCCACCCCTCATCAAGATGCTAAGTCTTTGTAGAGGTGAAAAATGCCATACTATACCTTGATTTCTTCTATTTCGTCTGGTACTATCTTGTATGCTGATATAGTCCCACCCAACCTGAAATTAGAAGAAGAAAATATTCTCAAAACCAGCAATAGTGCTTTAAAAGTATAAAAGATTTCTGCCATTACCATCAGAATGCTACCAATAACTCTCAGTATTCACCCCAACAACCATGGAGGAAAAACAAACATTTTGTGCATACATTTTCCATGTATTAGTTTAAAAGAGGTAGATAATGAATGACTACCAAAAGAGAAAATATTGTTGATTTTTACCCATAACTAAACTCCTCTTATTGATGACTTTAATAATGTTCAAACTGTCACTTTTACTGCTGTATTCTGTCACAGCTAACATGCATCAGGAACTGACAGCAAACATGTTTGACTTTTTTAAGAAAGAAATCATAGCTTTTTACTTTTTATAGTAGCTTTAGGTTTACAGAAAAATAGAGCAGAAGAGCATTCACATACTCCCGCCCTCCCTTCTCCATGACTTTGTTTCCCTTGTTATTAACATCTTGCATTAGTGTGGTACATGTGCTACAACTGGTGAACGAACATTGATTTTGCTCCTTTTTTCAAGTAATTTGAACCGGGAGTCAGAGAGATGTGTGTGCCCAGCACTGTCCAAGGGGAAGAGATGAAAATTTGGGAGTTACAGATAATTTAATCCTTAAAGACAGTGATGCCATTATATGTCATATTCACCTGTTTGAAATATTTTTTAGAAAGCAACTAAGCTTCATATAAGATCATGTGCTAGGTATGTATCATATATTATCTAATTTAATCCTTGCAATTCTATTATAAAAATGGGGAAATTGAGACAGGAACATTCAGTAATTTTTCTTAAGCAACTGAAGGAACTAGCAAATGAATGAGTTGAGATGTACAAAAGTGTAAAATATACACCAGATTTTGAATACTTAGTATGAAAAACAGAATAATTTTAATATATTGACTACATGTTAAAATAACATTTTAGACATATTGGGTTAAATATATTATTAAAGTTAATTTCATCTGTTTCTTTTCACTTTTTAAAATGTGGCTACTTAGAAACTTTAAAATTACATACAGGGTTGTGGCCCCCATTACATCTCTATCAGGTACTCTAGGCTAATACACTCCAAATTACCTAACTGCCTTTGTTCTAATTCAGTGCTTACCAAGGAACCTTCTGATTACTTATCTAAGCTTGTAAGCACCTCAGTAACAAAAAAAGGAGTATCATACGTAAGAGACTTATGTATTATGGATCCTTTAGGATATCTCCTCTCCCAAATGTAAAATAATAAATACCATTCTGGTTTCCATTAAAAAAAAAAATCCAACCAAATGATTTGTATTAAATATGCATTAAAACTCCTTAATATTTATTACCACTTATTCTTACTAAAGAAACTAGTGTTCAAATCTGTTTTTTTTTTTTTTTTTTTTTTTTTTTTTGAGACAGAGTCTCACTATGTCACCAGGCTGGAGTGCAGGGGCGTGATCTCGGCTCACTGCAACACCGCCTCCCAGGTTCAAGCAATTCTCCTGCCTCAGCCTCCCGAGTAGCCGGGATTACAGGCACGCGCCACCACGCCAGCTAATTTTTGTATTTTTAGTAGAGACAGTGTTTCACCATGTTGGCCAGGATGGTCTTGATCTCCTGACCTCGTGATGCCCCCGCCTCAGCCTCCCAAAGTGCGTATCCAAATCTTGATTTGAGAATTATTTCTTACACTTAAAATACCATGATTAAATGGTGGAAACACAAATGAATTTTAACTTAATTCACTTCATATGAGGTATACCAGTAATGTAACAAACAAGATCATAGTAAGATAGCTATGTGATCAAGTGGCTAAATAATGGAGGAAACTTGGAGGAATTCCATATTATGCTGAACATAGAAATGAGAAAGAAGATGAAAGCTGAGGTAAAAACGAGAAAAAATCCCAGAATATAGAAACAATCTAGAAAAAAACTAATAGAAACAAGTGAGACATATACATTATTAAAAATACCTGTTCACTAATAAACCTACTTCAGCCCATCATTTCTTTCCATTACCTGACTATAACCAAAATAAGGAAAACTTTACCAACTAGTAGTTTTTACCTTTGAACTGATTTCTGAAAATGACATTTCTATTTTCATGACTTCATTAAACACAGATAGTTTAATATGCTATCAGTATTGCACAGTTACTGCACTGAGGCCTAGATAATAACTCACTCCAAATTTTATGTTCTTTCTATTATATTACAGTGTCCTTCTCATTGTTGAAGAAAGAATTCACTCTGGCGTAAAATATAGTTCTATTTTACTCTAGTCAATATATAAAAATAGTATTACATTGGCAGTGATAGTGGTAGTAATAGTTGAAATACTACACATAAAAAAAAATATATATTTTTTATATATATATCTATATATATATATTTTTTTGAGACAGAGTCTTGCTCTGTTGCCCAGGGTGGAGTGCAGTGGTGCGATCTCAGCTCACTGAAACCTCCGCCTCCTGGGTTCAAGCGATTCTCCTGCCTCAGTCTCCTGAGTAGTTGGGACTACAGGCACATGCTACCACACCTGACTAATTTTTATATTTTTAGCAGAGACGAGGTTTCACCATGTTGATCAAGATGGTCTCATCTCCTGACCTTGTGACCCACCTGCCTTGGCCTCCCAAAGTGCTGGGATTACAGGCAGGAGCCATCACGTCCAGCTGCATTTTGACCATTTTAAAGTGTGCAATTCAGTGGCATTAAATACATTCACAGTATTGTATATCATTACTATTTCCAAAACGTTTGCATCACTCAAAACAGAAACTGTAAACATTAAGCAGTAATTCTTCATTTACCTCTCACCCCAGCTCCTGGTAACCTCTAATCTACTTTCTGTTTCTGCGAATTTGCCTGTTCTAGACACGTGACGTAAGTAGAATCATACAACATTTGTCCTATTGTGTCTGGCTTATATCATTAAGCATAATGTTTTCAAAATTCTTTCATGTTGTAACATGTAGCAGAACTTTATTCCCTTTTATGGCTGAATAATACTTCATTACATATGCACACTACATTTTATTTATCCATTCAGCTGTTAATGGATGCTTGGATTGTTTCCATCTTTTGGCTATTGTGAATGATGTTATGATGAATACAGGCATGTAAGTGTCTGTTTGAGTCCCTCTTTTTAAGTTTTTGGGGAATATACCTAGGAGGTAGAGTTGCTTTGTCATTCTATGTCTAGCTTTCTGAGAAACCACCAAGTTGTTTTTCACAGCGGCTGTATTATATATTCCTATGAGCAATATATGAGGGTCCAATTTCCACATCCTTGTCAAAGTTGTTATATTCATTATTTTTTAATGGCCATCCTAGTGGGTGTGAAGTAGCCTCTCATTGTGGCTTGAATTTGCATTTCTCTAATGACTAGTGATGCTGAGGATCTTTTTATCTTTTACTGGCCATTTGTGTTATCTTTGGATAACAAGTCCTCTACCCATTTTAAATTTGTTTTTTTGTCGTTGTTGAGTTGTTCAAGTTCTTTACATATTCTGAATTTTAAACCCTTATCAGATATATGGTTTTAAAATATTTCTCCCATTCTATAGGTTGTCTTTTCACTTTCTTGATAATGTTGTTTGATGCACAAAACTTAAATTCTGACGAAGTCTACTTCATCTACTTTTTTCTTTTGTTGCTCATGTTATTGGTGTCATATATACAAATCCACTGCCAAACCCAAGGCAATAAAGATTTATCCCTGTTTTCTTCAAAGAGTTTTATGGTTTTAGTTCTTGTAATTTGGTCATTAATCCATTTAGAGTTCATTTTTCTATATGGTGTGAGGTATGGTTTCAAGTTATTTATTTTCCATGTTAAAATTTGGTTGTCAAGGAAATTTCCTTTCTCAAAGCTATGGTCACAGCTTTGACTTGGCACCCTTGTCAAAATTCAATTGGCCACAGATGCATGGGTTCATTTCTATATCTTCAGTTGTATTCCATTGGTCTATAGGTCTTTATGTCAATACCAGGCTGTCTTGATTAATCTAAGCTTTGAAGCTGGGAAGTGTGAGTGTGCCAATATTGTCCTTTTTCAAAACTGTCTTGACTACTTGGGACACCTTGAAATTTTAGGGACCTCATAGAAATTTTAGGTTTGGCTTTTCCATTTCTGAAAAAAAAAATGACTACTAGAATATTGATAGGAACTATATTGAGTCTGTAGATAACTTTGGGTAGTAGACATTTTAAAAATATTAACTTGGTCAGGCATGGTGGCTCATGCCTGTAATCCCAGCACTTTGGGAGGTCGAGGCGGACAGATCACGAGGACAGGAGATAGAGACCATCCTGGCTAACAGGGTGAAAACTGTGTCTCTACTAAAAATACAAAAAATTAGCTGGGTGTGGTGGCGGGCGCCTGTAGTCCCAGCTACTCGGGAGGCTGAGGCAGGAGAATGGCGTGAACCCCGGAGGCAGAGTTTGCAGTGAGCCAAGATGGCGCCACTGCACTCCAGCCTGGGCAACAGAGCGAGACTCCGTCTCAAAAAACAAACAAAAAAATCAACTCTTTCATTCCATAAACATGAGATACTTTTCCACTTATTTAGGTCTTCTTTAATTTCCTTCAGCAATATTTTGTAATTTTCAATGTCTTTCACCTCCTTGGTTAAATTTATTTCAAGGGATTTTCAGATGCTATTTTAAATGGAATAGTTTTTATTTCCAGTTTGGATTTATTGCTGGTATATAGAAACACAAATGATTTTTGTGTACTCAGCTTGTATCCTGCAGCTTTGCTGAACTCATTTATTGGCTCTAGTAGCTTTCTTGTGATAAAAAACGTTTTATATGTAGCAGCATGTTATCTGCGAACAGACATAGTTTTACTTCTTCCTTTCCAATGTAGATGCCTTTTTTTTCTTTGTCTGCCTGTTCTGACTAGAACCTGCAGTACAATGGTGAACAGCGATAGTGAAAACAAGAATATCTGCCTTGTTCCTGATATAAGGAGAAAACCTTTTTCTCATCACTGAGTATAATGATGTTAG